AGAGATAATAATGATATAAAAAGTTCTTAGTAAACAATATAGCTTTGAGTTTAGATGAGGTGACAAAACCTGAACCATACAAGAGAGGTGGAATAACAGATTTGCCCTTATTATTGGTACTGTTAAAAATTCTCCACCAGTCACGAGAGTCTAATTTTTGAGATAAAATACGAGATTTCATGACCTCAGAATACCGAGCTACGTTTTACACAAAACCTTTTTACAATGGTTTCTAGCAATAGTAAACAGATGTCTGTTTTCTGGAGAATTGTTTTGCTGATAGATAAGGAAGTAGTGGTTTCCTCACAAGAGGTACGTATTTGTACAAAACATCAAAAAAGTACAGACTACCATTTTGAATTTTTATTCAGTTCTAAAAACTTTAATTTTTCATCTTAAAACATTGTAGAAGAGCTCAAAGAATTTCGTGTTAGTTTGTGCCAAAATGCAATTGAGAATAGTAAGGGTAGATGTATGGAATTGGGAATTTAAGTTGAGAGGAGAGTCAGACGACGGCGAATAATGCCAGATGAATGGATGGGAGATAGTAGCCTCTCTGCTGAAGATGAAGTTAGCAGAGTTTTGAAAATGATATTGGATCGTTTCCAACAAGAACTAAAAACTTGCTTTAGACGATTAAATAATCTCAATGAAAAATTTGGGTTCTTGCTCGAAGTGAGAATATTGCTAAAGAGGGATGATGATGAAAATCAAAAAAGTTTCAACAATGTTAGGATCTGGAAAACTTTTACAGTAAAGATATCAGTGGAGCAGAATTATTTACTGAAATCACAGACTATCAGTTGCTGTTTATACCTCGTGGAGGCCCAATATCATCAACTCCGCCGGATTTACTTTCATTTATTTCGTCATACGGAGATGACGTTTTTCCAAACTTACGCATTGCATTACAAATCTTGCTTACAATTGCAGTGTCAATAGCTAGTTGCTAACGTTCTTTCAGCAAGTTGAAGCTTATTCTTTCATATCTACGAGCTTCAATGGGGCAACAAAGTCTTGTTAATCTGGCAATCCTTAGTATCGAAAGATAAATTCTATAATCAATAGACTTTGACGACATAATAGATAAATTTGCTGCAGTTAAAGCTAGAAAGATCAAATTATAATTTATAAATAGTTATTAATTATTGTATCTGATTGACCATCTATCACTTTTAATGACTAATTCACATGAACAATAATGGATACATAATTGGAAACATGACTTAAATTGAGTTTGCATTATGATTAGCATTTGTATTTTTTTAAATAAAATTGACATATACTTGGAAACACTAAGTGTTTTTTTTTTTGTCTGCTTCATGGGGGCGCCAATTTTCAGTATTGCCCTGTGCGCCTGAAACCCTAGCTACGCCACTGGTTTCAGAACTTATTATTTGAAAGGTTGACGGTAACGGTTGCTCAGGGTTTTTATCGTTACTGGTGTGTGATCGTGGTGTTCTTGCGTTTGAATAAAATCTTGTGTAGTAAGAAATGAAAAAAAAAACTCACTAGACACATTTGCTAATGTCTTTTTTTTTTCTTTTTTTAATTTTCTCTGTCATGTCCTTTCTTCTTTTTCGGATAATTTTTTGTCGAAAAATAGCTGAAAAAGAACCCTGGACGCCTAGGTTAATTTTGTTTATGTTTTTTTATCTATTCTAAAGCATGTGCTATATCAAATAAATTATCCAAATTGTTTCGAAAGTTCTCCTGACAGTGCTTGTAATTATCTTGATTTTTTTTTTTTGCAACTTCATCCAATTATGATGAAGATCTACATGATTTTTTACAATTAGGTAGAGCTTTATTAGTGATTCTACTTTTTTTCCAAAATAAACTCTTGATTTTAACTCTTTTTTAAACACTGGCGTTAAAAAAAAGTACTTGACTGTTAGACGGTTTGTGCCTGTTATTTGAAAATTCACGTCACTAACTGAGATAAATTTTTTTTATTGCTTTCGAATTTTACTGCTATTTCTTAAAAATAAAACAATATTTATCTGTCATGAGAATGACAGAATTTTTCTAAAATTGCGGATTTGCTTATAGCGGTTTTTATGTCGAAAAATTGATAATAACTATCTATTTACAATTATTGTAAGTAGATAATTATTATCTATTTACTAATATCAATTGGTATTGGATTATCAAGAAAATAGTTATCTATTTTTATATATTAAAATTTTCGTCGTTGTAAAAATCACTTTGAGCATTTTTACCCTTTTAACAATAACGCGAGTAAGCACAACTATTGCGTAACTTGTACGAACATGATTTGATGCAAGTCGGCACAGGTTATTGTACTCCAATTAAGGTAAAAATTTATTTTCGAGTGTTTTAGAAGCAAATGAACAAAACTAAGACCTATGCCTCAGAAAATAAAAACTTTGAAAAATAAGAGACACCCTAATATATATATATATATATATATATATATATATATATATATATATATATATATATATATATATATATATATATATATATATATATGTATATATATATATATATATATTTTATATATATATATATACATATATATATATATATATATATATATATATATATATATATATATATATATATATATATATATATATACAGGGCCAGCGCGAGTAGGTGTCAGGTAGGAGTAGGTGTCAGGTATTACAACTTTTGCCGACAAAAAAAAAAAAAAAAGGTCCTCGTTTTCCAAAATTTGCCGACTACCATTACGACATTTGCCGACTTACTAGATTACCGACTAACTTATCCCGACGGGCATTTGTTTTTAAAAGTTACGTTCTAAATGTATTTTAAATGTCTTTTAAACGTTTTTTGCGTAAGAATGTTTAGAAGACGTTTAAAAGACATTTAAAATACATTTAGAACGTAACTTTTAAAAACAAATGCCCCTCGGGTATCGAAAGGATCGACATTTGCCGACTAGCTAGTCTAAAGGATCCAATTTGCCGACTAAGGGTCCAATGTGCCGACTAAAAATCATTGATGAGGGGGAGGGGGTGTCACACCTCCCGCACCCCCTATTGCGCCAGCCTTGTATAAAGCTAAATCAATATCGTTTTATAAAAAATCAAAAAATTTAATAAGTAAACAACTGTTTCTTTCGTGGTTACTATCTTGATTTATATGTGCATTCGCTTGTTTATGACGTACTACTAAATATGCGCGCGCATGAAATTATCGGAACTGTGAAGACATGAAATAAATAGCAACAATTAAGAACTAAGACCAAGACCCTAATAACAACTGTGATTTGCTTGCTGGCTGCTTTTATTATAATCCATCGAATTAGAAGGAATAACTTATATACTAACGATAAAATTAAAATCAGAAGAATCTAAAAACACTTTTAATATAGTGTGTTTAACTAAAACATGGACAAACCGCGAACGTTTTGAAAAATAATTCAAATTTTGAAATTCCTTTTTTAAAATTAATATTTGTGGAAAGATTTTTTATCTACGAGAAGGAGATTATAGCGCATCACATTTTAGGAATGATTTGAGTACTTCTGAAGATGACAAAGAAATTAAAACTATTGAAATTGTTAACAATTAAACAAAAAACATCCTCTTAAACTGTTATTATCGACCACCTGGTGGCGTGAGCAAGAACTTGAGCAGATTTTTTAAACAAAATATCTTCAAAAAAGGCATTAAAAAAAAACATATATTCTTTTAGAGATTTCAATTCGTATTACTAAATATATATAGTAAATGTATTCAATATCTTGTGTTTTGTATACTTATGGAAAAATAATTTAGTTTCTAACATTTTTAAATTTATCTCTACTTTAAAACTTGTCAATAAATATGCCCTAAGAAATAATTATTTGCTAAACCAAATTTATCTCGTCATTTTAAGATGTTTACAACTGCCTTTTAAAAAACGGCTTATTTGAAGTTCTCATGACGAGATCTTCGTGATGTTCTCTCTGTGACTTAGTTTTTACTTTAGATTGATTTATTTACTAAATAAAAATAAAATCTCGGGTTATAAAACACATTAGCTCTTGATCTAAGGTAAAAGAAAAAGAAAATTTTTTTTCGTTTTATGTACCCCAAAAAGATTTTGTCACAGAGCATTTAAATAGGAAGTTTAAGCCTCTTTCCGATGGCACGAAAATATGCCCAGAGTTCGCATCAAATCCTGGATTTCTTTCAAGCGTTCACCACTACGTCACGATTGCTCTCTGCGCCACGGCTATTCTGTCGATAATGCAAACAAAATTTGAAATATAAGTTTATTAGGCCTTTCATCATGATTTCATCAGTGACAAGTTTTTTTTCTTCCGAATATACAACATAAAGTTAACATGTTACAAATTAAAATTTACTGATTGGTCTTAGTGAATATGATGTCGTGAGAGTTTTTATAAAAAGTTAAATGGATATAAACTGACACGTTGCGCACAGGGGAGCTGACGGTTTTGGCAGGGTCAATAAACAGCTTTACTCGGAAAAAAAAATTATGATTCCAAAGTTTTATTTTAACATCCTAATAGGTTCTCTTCATTATCAGAATTAAAAGTTAAGAAAGCTCAGGGTTTGGATTATTAATTTATGTTTAAAATAAGTTGTTTTTTTATAATTTATGTTTGCTAATTACACTAATAAATTGTTGGGTAGCAACCCTGCAATTTATTAGTGTAAAAGAAAAAGACGCGCTAAAGAATTTACTAGTGGGTTATCCTCCGCCTAAAGCATGGAGAAAATTTTTTTAAATTCTTTAACATATATTATAAACATATATTACAAACACCGTAACGAAATTATAACAAAGCACACCGATCTTCAAATACATACTACTCGTGTAAATAAAATTTTTACCCAAAATCTTATATTTCCAACAATCATACTATTGCATAATAAGCATCAAATACATAGCGCTTCCACTTAACATGCGAATAACTTCTAGTTCTATAGTTTTGATGTTCTACTGTATACTATTTATAACACTGTATACTATTTATAAGTTAGTAATATTAACAGAAATTAAAAAAAGAAAGCGAAGAATATTATTTATGAAAATAAGATTTCACTTGTTATTTACAAATATACATTAAATTACTTTGTTATCTTCTTGGGCAGAAACGATCTAGATGGCCGAGATCTCCTAGAGTTAATGTAATCAATATCTTAATCTGCAGTAACAATTCATGTAAAACTGAAGAAAAAAAAAGAAATACACTTACCACAATGAAAACAACGAAGATTATTGAAAAATTGATAATTAATTTCATGATTGAAATTGCCTGGTTGTTGATAGTAACCGTTAACTCTTGATTGAAATCGCGGCTGGTAAACTTGATCTGACCGGACATATTGATTGTGAAACGTGAAGTTGTTTTCGCCGATTTGACGTGTCCCGTTATATGGATTTGGTCTATTATCGTAGTATGGTCTGTTGCGATGATTTCTGGGAGTGCGAGATCTTGAACGTTGACGGTGCCGGTTATTATTTGGCATAACTCGAACGTTTCTATTTATTATCTCGTCACTTTCGTCGGAATCATCTGGTGAGTGAATCCACGAACGAATTCCATCAGGTCCTAAAATAGTTAAATTTAACTTATGATGGCAAAACTCACTAAAATAAATAAAATAAAACATTAATAGACATATTAGCATAAGAACTAAATTATGGGAAATCAGATAAGATCAAACGACGATGATTATCCGTCGCATATGATCTCCTAGATTGCTCAGCCACAATTACCAGTTCTAACATGTAAAAAAGAATCATTTGTATACTACCCTCCACCTGCGTTCAGAAACCAGTGTTGATTTAAGCAAACGTATTGACATCCTATGTTTCATCTTCACATCTAGATACTAGACTTAACTAGATTTTTTATACATTTTTCATGAGCTAAAAATTAATGATTAAAATCAAGTAAACAACTCATGTAATATCACTTGTCACTTATCACTACTTAATTGTTTTGGTTTAAAAATATAGAAAATATCTTTTGAAAACAAAAACATATAGTTTTTGAAATGCTAAGCATAAATTAGTAAATACAGAGGAGTTTCTTTAAAATCAGTTTTCTAAATTTAAAAACAAAAATTATTAGGGTCAAATTGTCTAAAAACTAAAATCAAAAGAAACATTTTTTAAAAAAGATATATTTTTTAAGATTTTTAAACATAATTTTAAAAAACAATTTTTTCTTTAATTTCATTTTAAATTTGGTGTGTTTTTACATGCATAACTGAACAACTGCTACAATAAATACGAATCTTTTTTACAAAATTTAAAAAATTCCAAAAGGAATCATAAGTATCTTCTTGACATAAAAACTTTTTACTCCATAATGATTGGAGTTTTCTTATTAATTTTAATCTCTGCATATTTTACTTCAGTTTAATTGACCTTATTTGCCAAAATTCTAACAATTTTGTAACACGTTTAAAGTCTTCACTAATATACATAACCATTTAAAAATTCTCATGACACGAAGCACAATAGGTCAATTATATACCAATTCAATCACTGTTAAATCGGATAAGGTATAATAACATTCTTGAAAAATGTATTCATGATATCAAGCACAAGATGTAAGATGTAAGATATTAGACACACGAGGCCTGCTCAAAGAAGCGGAGGATACATTACCTTCGACAGCAATATCCCTCCGTTTCAACTCATCACGTTCTTGCTTTAGTTCAGCTCTTCTCTTTAATGTATCCTCATCCATAGCTTCAACCATTTTTTCAACAGCGCTATCTAACACAACAGAATGTACAGCTTTTCCTTTAATTTTACGACGACATACAGGACAGCTTTTTTTTTTTTTCATCCACATCATAAGACATAGTTCACAAAAAGTGTGCGCACATGACAATGTAGTTGCTCCAATAAATAACTCTTGGCATATAATACAAGTAAACTCATCTTCCATTATTTGAATTACAGTTTGTTTTGCGTCACACTCTGCTTGTCTTGATATTTCTTTTTGTCTAATAAGTTGGCTTTCTTTTTCTTCTATCTGCTTTCGCAACTCACTGAGACATAATTCTAACTGTTTTTGATTTTCCTCAACAGACTTGTACTTTTCTAGAAGACATTCTTTAACTTGCAGTTGAGCAATTAGACTGTTCTTTTCATTTTCTTTATGAATCATGGCATTTTCTAAAGCAATTTTTTGTTGCTCTAATTCTAGTTTATAAACTTCATCTTTTTCACTTAACTTATTACTTAACTCATCTTGTAAATTTTTTTCAACTTTTTTCTTTTCATATTCAAGCAAACAAATGTGCTGATCAAACTCAGCTCGTAATAATGCTTCTTTTTCTTTTAACTGGTGTTCCAAAAGTTCTTTTAAATGACTTTCTCCCTTTAGCATTTCAGCTTCTAATTCAAATTTTTGAATTTCTAGACTTTCAATTATGCATTTTTGAGTAACCTCAAGTTTATTTTTTAAAACATCTTGTTTTTCCTCCTTAGAACGTAGTTCGTCTGATAAATATTTTATTTTATTTTCATGTTCTTTTATTTGAGAAGCATTTGCTTCTATAACTGTTAATGAAGATGAATCTATTTTTTTGTGACGTTTTGTGGGAGAATAATCTTCTTTAACTAATGAGCTACATAAATGCTGTTTTGATACAGGCTTTAATTGTTCAAGAATATATTCAAATTCACATGGTAAATTTCCCATTGCACATCCAAATCCAATTTTCTCACCCACATGCAACTCTTGTGGTTCTTCTGGTTTAATTCTTCTACCATTGATGTAAACACCGTTTATGCTCTAAACAAATATTTTTTAAATATTTATATAAAATAAATCAATGTTATTATTACTTGTATTTACTTGAACAGAATTATTTAACCAAAACATACACCTTCACATATAACATACATAAGGAAACTTACCAAAACAAATAATAAAAACTTAAAAAGGTTTATTTTATTAAACTATATTGGAATTAATTAACTATTATGCAAAGTTAACCTACATGATGATCAACAATAGTAACTCTTCCTTCATCGCAAGTTATTGTTGCATGTTTTCTAGAAATCATTAATGGAGTCACCTTTGATAGTAATCGAATATTGACTTCATCAGACATAATTCTACCAAATGTATTTGCTTTTTTTTCCAAAAGTGGAATAATATTGGAACAAATAGGATCCTTTTTGCTTACAACAGGAACTACTTTTCTAATTCTATACTTAAAACCCGTAGTATCCATAAATTACAATTTGACGTCAAAGTTCACAAATATTTAAACGTTTAAACTCTTAAAATGCACAAATTTTAATTGTTCCCATACGCACCATCCATCACTTACTCAAAACACCTTTCTGTATAAATTTTTCAAGTTCCTCTATTTAAACGGTTTGTTTTTGTTAGCAAAAGCACTGGGATTGAACTAAATAGTTCAGGGGGTATATACAAATATAAAAATTACATACATTAAATATCAAGTCACGTAAAACTTTATATTTTACAATACATTAAAGTTAAAAACAAAAATCAAACATTATGCATGTTGAACTTTGAATATTTATGAAACTTAGTTTTAGAACGTACTACTGCAGTAAACTATTAACTCCATTGGAAAAAAAATCACGTGTTAATACTTTTAGACACGATACAAATGAAAACCACAAAAAAACTTATATAGATTATAAAGTATGTCCATAATCATAAACTTTGATAAAAAGTTTAAAGGTTTTGGTAAAGAATTGCAGTTATTTATATAAAATACTGTTATTAATTTTTTTTTCCAAATACCTATATATTGACGTTAATTTTTTTACATTTTGATTATATTTATGCGTAGATACAAATGACTCATGTTTTTAAAAATTTTTAAATGCAACTTTGTATTTATGCTACAGTTATCATGCATTATTAAATATTTCAAATCGTGCAAAAAATCTTCAGACCTATTGAATAAGGATTAGATTAAGGAAAAATAAATTAAAATTTAATAAATGAGTTAATAAATCGCTATTAAGTATTAATTGTTACTTTCCCTTTTCTTTTTTTTTTTTTTTTTTTTTTTACTGTTTCAAGTAAAGCGCTACTAAATTTATGTTAGAATTAAGTAATAAAAGAAATATAGACAAACTTGGTAATATAGTGTAACTAAACTTATTATCTCTTTTTTTTTTTTTTAACTGTTTTAAGTATATAGGCGCTACTATATTTAAGATAAAATTCTATATTAGATTTAAATAATAAAATAAAATAAATACTCTTGCTCCAAAAGAAAGATACTTTGTGCAGGTAGAATTATTGTGCAGAGATAGGTTGCAAACATTAACAGTTTAATGCCGCTGAAGAGTCTCAATCATCTGGCACGTAGAAGGTTAAATTAACTGCAACCAGGAACTTTAAAGATCAAACTAATATACTTGCAGAAAATCACATTAATATATTTGCAGAAAACATTTTTGAAACATCAAACTCATTTTAAGTTTTTTTTTTTTTTTTTTAATTTGATTTACTCGCCTAAAAAATTACTAGTCTTATATTATTATTAAATAATAATTAAAATATATTATTAAAAATAATTAAAAAGGAAATAAATAATTTATTTCCTTTTTAACACTAAATTTAATTTCTATTTTAATTTCTAAAATAAAAAACTATTTAATTTCTAAAATAAAAATATTTAAACGCGATAAAACAAACAAGAAGAAGAGTTTGATTTAAAAGTTAAAAGCGTCAGTACCGGCACTAGCGTCAGTACCGGAACGATTTAAAACTTTGTAAACCTGTGTCAATCGACGCAAGTTTGGTTTTTGATTTTAACTTGCTGGTTTTTTTTTATAATTACTTGAAAATGAATAATATGATTTTTAACATATTTAAATTTTTTTAATTTCAGGTTAAAATGGTATCTTACTTAATAAAATAATATTAGTTATTAAAAAGTTTGATTCGGGTTCACTTCAGTTCATTGCAATTTAAGAGTGTTTTTAATTTAAAACTCTAAATATTAAAAACTTTGCTTGAAAATCTACAACGTATTTATATGATTCCCATCAACAGAACGTAAAAAAAGTGAGCACGCTACTTCATTTCGTACCCGGTTGGTATAAATTTGCAACCTGAATTTTTAAACAATCTAATTAATCGCCGTAGTAACATTTTAAACCAGAAAAGCTTCTCAAGTTGTTAAAAATATTAAAATTTTTGCCAACAATACACCGAGAAAAAGAAGCATTTGCGGTTTTATTTACTAGAATTAATTTAAATCAAAAAATATATATATATATTCTTTAAGATTTTTTTTATGCAAGCAGGTAAAATTACAGTTAAACAGTTTTTATAAACTTTAATGGAAACGAAATAACGTTTATGTCCACATATGTTCGTACGTTTAAGTGCTCAGGAAAACTGACTATATATATATATATATATATATATATATATATATATATATATATATATATATATATATATATATATATATATATATATATATATATATATATATATATATATATATATATATATATATATATGATAAAAAGATATATATGTATATAATAATCGTTATTAAAAAATAAAAAAACGCGGGGACTTATAGGAAACCATACGATCTTGTCGTCGAGTACCGCTAAGAAATGTTCGTGTTAATATTTATAAGATATTTACAATATTATACTTTGTTTATATTATAATTTATAATATTTTACTTTGATAAATAAAATCCTCAGTAAAATTTTTTAAAACAATTATATTTTAATTTTAAGAATGGTCCGCAGTAATCAATACAAAATTTAAAAAGATCTATTTGAAAAATGGGCTGCTTAATAAAATTATCATTGCGTAAAATGTATTTATTTTTTGATTTGATATGTTTTGATGAATACAAGTTATGGAAAAAAATCCAGGATGAATTGGCTTTACATTTAACCCAAAGGTACAAAATCGAGAAAAAACGGAATCGAGAGAAATCGAGAAAAACTCCGTCGGAGGAAAAACTCCGTCGGAATCAGTTTCCATAATATTTTGTTATAAATAAAAGAATTAAACTATCTAGTTGATAATGAACTTTGTTCTAGTATTTTTTTTTTTAATTTTATATATTTCGATTTATAATTCATTGTAAATTTTTAAAAAATTTATATTTTTATATTTTTTAGTACTTAAATACTTTTTATCACATACTTTTTTATCACAATTTTTTAACGAACAAGTTTTATCTAATAAATGGCTTTCTAACCGGCATCGGTTAGGAAGAAGGCGTGAACTATCAGTTAAATGCCCTTCTGCGGTACTTTTATATGGTACCAAATTTAATCATTCACCTTAAGGTGAATGATAAAATTTGGTACCATATAAAATTGAATTCAGCCGTCCGTAGTTTTACCTGCAATATCTTTACTATCTATATCAAATGCTTTCAATTTTTCCATTATCAAAATGTTTAATGTTTCGGCGAAACTAGGAGATGGCAATCTTACCATTCCTAAACAATACGTTCTGTCGTGATGAACACTTCGACCTTTACTAATGCTACACCATTTGTCACCTGTTATTCCAAATTTTTCTCCTTTCAATGTAGCCAGTTCAGCAATCATTATATATTTGGCTTCAGCATGAATCATCCTAAATTTTTCTGAAATTGTGGACGCTGACTTAGGCAAACTATGCCCATAATTTTCAAAAAGCATTCTTAGTGTTTTAGATTGAGTTATGGACCTAATCAAATATCCATCAAGAGCTGTCAACTTGGTAAGAAGATAGTTTTACGACATCTTAGTCTTGGTAAGAAGATAGTTTTTCAGAAACCATTTTTCTCTATGAAAGAAAAATTATCAATTTGATTATGACCTCAGATATTTGTTTTTAATTTTATTTTAATTGTGATAAGTTATCACACTTTAAGTTCATAATTAAGTTATTTAATCTAATAGGTAAGTATAATTAAACATTAATTATTATCACTTGTTCTCACTGATAACATTTTATTACACAATTTTGCCACAATGCACAGTGGGCCGGACTTAAGACTTACGGTGGACAAAATTATCTTGATCATACGATCTACACTACTTGTATAAAATAAAATCTACACTACTTGTATAAAATAAAAGTATTATATGTTTAAAACTTACCTCGTTATTTTAAGACCAGTTTTTGTATATAATGTATACAATGATCTTGGCTAAATATTTTTTTTTTGTAAAGGTAAACTATTGAAAAGTTAAAATATATTAACTAATATCACATACGCATAATATTTTGAAAGTTACTGTTTACTATATCTTCGCTAAAAAGTCAAAAAATTCTTGCTTTTTTGACCAAAAAATGCATTACATTTTTTTTTAACCCAATTGATTTTTGTGGATTTAAAAAGATACTATTATTAAAAAGATACTATTATACTCAAAAGAGTTTTTGAAATAGTACAATGGAAAAGTACGAATAAGTTTTATTATATGGTTTTGTTTTCTTTTTGAGGATTTTTCCACCATCACCACCTGGCCCACTGTGCATTATCAATTACTTTACGATGTAAATTAGTGCTGCATTTGAACAAAGAGAACACTTACATTTTGAAAACAACAAGAACTATTGTAAAAGCCACGTAGAAATAAAATAAGAATTACTTTACCATTAAAAAACTTAAATTTTCTAAAAACTTCGTCAAAGTTTCGTCGAAGTTTCTGAATTTCTCCGAAACTCCAAAAAACCGAGAAAAATCCGACGAGACGGAGTTCCGAATGAATCCATTAATTTAAACATAAATAAAAAATATTAAAAATATTAAGCTCGTATATATAAAAAACTTTTATTTTAAGTAATATAGGCTTGGCACGAGTATAACGGTCTTTAAAATATATAAGACGTGCTACATGATTCTGCTGACAATAAAGATTTAAGTATATTTTTGTTTGTACTACCCCAAGCAATGTTTGCATAGTTTATGTGACAGTGAATAAATAAGAGTGATATAATTGTACTAAAATACGTTTATTTAAAACATTTCTTTCTTTTTGCAATATTCCTATACTTTTCTTAATTTTACTTGATAAATTTTTAAAGGGATTTTTCCATTTAAGATTTTCATCTATACAAACACCTAGAAAGTTATATATATTAAATATAAATATTATATTTAATATATATAAATTATTATATCATAAATACTTTTTTAATATTACATATATATATATATTTACATATATATACATATATATATATATATATATATATATATATATATATATATATATATATATATATATATATATATATATATATATATATATATATATTTAACTATTACAAATATTAATTAATTTAACTATTACAAATATTACACTTTCTAAAAGTAAAATTCCTTCCGAAGTTGAACGAAACTT